TAACAAATGAACACACAAACAGCATCACAGATTTGTACGCACACTTGCACATTTTTACTACGTACATGTAAATGTACAAATACATGAAATGACGTGTAGGCTATTCGTATGTGCACCTCAGCATACACATTAGCTCCGCCAAACAACATACCGCATAAGTCATAACCGCTAGGGGCTGGATAGGCAATACTTTCTTTACTACTATAGCTAGTACAGCCTAATTGAAGAGCAAACTACAGAAATGCATTATACGACTCTTGTGTATGTTTTTAAACACCTCCCGCTCTTGAGAATTTTATTTTTTTTTAAATTTTGGCAAATTTCTGATCTAAATAAAATAAATATTTAGGACTGAAATGACTGTGACCTAAATTTTCATAATTTTATATATTTAAAAAAACAAAAGTTATTGTATGTATGCACAAGAGTCATGATGACCCTCTGAAGAAAAATATTTAGAAATAGAACAAAAATATTTTGTAGGGAAATTTGTATCACTTAGAAGGCAATGAGGGATCAACTATTCGCCGAAAGACGTTCATCGTAAACTCGTAAAGTAGATAAAAAAAAGGGGTTTAGGAACAGTTTTTAGGGGCTTTCAAATTGGTGAGTGCCCAGGGTCTAGGGTTCTAAGAAATATGGAACTGATCATGGCCTCCTATTCCTAAAGTATAATTATTTTAGGAGGCTATGCCGCTATTGTGTGATATTTTAGCTTAGGCTGTACGATTTCGAGGGCTATGGTCAGGCGCCCTTTGAGCTTCGGGCCCTTCTCCAATCTCTGACCATGTCCAGAGAGTATGTATACATAAAAACATACACGTATATAATACATACCATTCACGCAAGAATTACATGCACACAGACACGTGTACGTAAACACACATACACACATACACACACACGCGCGCGCGCGCCGTCTGTTGCAACATGGTGAAACAACCACTGCACCTGTGCACGCCACTGTTGCTCTCGTCCACACTTTCTGGTCGATGCCAACGCGATGTGTACCTCAAGCTGGAATGTGTGCAACCGGGAGGGTCTTTCAAAGTGAGGTAAGACTGGGATCACACTTTTACACTGTGACTCTGATGTATAGTCGACTTATGTTAATGTAAGATCGGTGAAACCTCCCTTGTCTCCCGCTCATGTTTACGCTTTGCATCACCTTAATTCAGAGTAGTTCACCTAAATTTGAAACATTTATCTAACATTGTGCATCAAAGCGCTGTTGGATGTACATGTGTATGAATTCGCATGCGGCATCGGTTGTACTCTTGACGATTTGGGCGTCATTTATGGCTATAGCGATAAGTATCCAGGTACCATAGCTTCATATATTACTAAGTCTCGTTATATTAAGATTTGAACTTGACTTGTAGAGTGTGCTTCTGGTAAGAACATTCTGGCAGTTAGGGTATTGTATCGGCTGTACATCGATATGTTGCAGTGCTATTCGTGAATTCATCTGCCAAGAGACTATCAGTCCGTCAGTACGTACATATAGTACAAGAATCATCCAGTGTATATGGTGATACAAAGCAATTGTTCCATGTTCGTTAAATACAACGAGTACAAGCATGTACCATGTGCATGTGCTCTGCATGCGACAAGCATACTTATTCCAAGTACATATTACTTAAAACCTGTATGCCAACGGTACACTCCGTCAATGTGCACGTGAAATCGTTTCAAAAGATGGTTTGTTGAGTGCACGAAATAGTCCATTCGTTCGCCACTTTTCGGTTCGTTCTTTAAACTACCTCGGATTAACTGTACCGGGCTCTGTCTCCAATTTAATAAACTCATGTGTGAAATAGTCGAAACCAGATGGCAGGTACGGCTGCTTTGGCCCGAACACAACACACTCCTGATAAGAATGATTCTTTTCATTTTTCCAATGCAAACGCAGAGGTCTTGGTCGAATGATACAGAAGGCACAGAGTAAGGGGTTCTCAAAGATTGTGTGCTCCAGCGGCGGCAATGCAGGTATGTTGCCAAAGCCGTGTACATCCATAGCCAATGGGCCTATAACACGTGTGTGTATGACGACAACGCCTGCTTGTTAAACAAGCGTGGTGTATTATGCGTTGGTTGTAGTGAGTTGCACCCACCCATGTGTTGTGCTTCTGTGCTATATAGTCATGACTCATGCTTACTTATACTGCGGTTACTCACCCTTGTATAGGAATGGCTGCTGCGTATTGTGGGAAGTCCCTGGAGATGCAGACATACATCTTCGTCCCCTCCACCACACCCAAGTACATGCGCGACAGACTGCAGGCTATCGGTGCTGAGGTGTGTCAGTAGAGCTCTCTGTTCATGTGCTGCGGGTGTGTAAGTAGAGGGACTTGTATGATAGGTAGTCTCCCTGAGCAACGCCTATTGCAACCATAGATATTATACACTACAGAGTGGCGTCTGTGCTTGTGCCAAGCACTGACCAAACACGTTTAGAATGCACCAAACTACAAAACGGACTCGTAGGTGCTTTAATGCCTGCACATATTCGCTGCTGTGGCCGCACCGATGTGTAGTTGTCTACCATTGGTCGGGGTGCTGAGGTAGATTGCATCTGTATATGACACACTAGTGTGTGGGTTGGTTTGGGTTACGCTAGTGTGTGATTAAGTCTATTCCGGAGGACCGGAATACCATTTAGGACATTTATATGTGACGATGGCAAGGGATGTCATTTGCTGTCCGATGTGCCCGCAACGCTCCTGCCCTTTTATTTCGGGTGCAGACATGTGCACCTGCACTCAGAAAATGGGCCCATTTATGTGATACGACTGATGTTAGCCACACTCATCGCCAACTGAATAGGTCAGCCCTCACATCCAAATGGTTCCTGGCGGGTAATCACTTCCCAACAGATACGCTTTCCCATATACGTTGTGTAGTTTAGTCACCAGTACAGCCCTAAAATCAAAATACGTACCGTTTTGGAAGCTTTCACCCGTTCCCTGGCCCGAATCGGCTGGTTGATATTCAGTAGTCCTGCCATAGCACACAAGTCCATTCGCCACACACGCTACGGTAGCAACTAACCATTTCGTATATAGCACAAGCATAAACGTTTTGTTATAACACAATCCATTCTGCACGAACTCTTAACAGGTGACATACGTTTTGCACGTGTGTTTGTCTGCAGGTTGTGGTGGCAGGTGATGTGTGGGAAGAGGCCGACCTTAAAGCCAGACAAATGGTCGACGCAGCGCCCACTAGGGGTGAGTACAGTGGCTACACACTGAGTCAGATCATGCGATTGCGAGCGGATATCGCTAAACCCTATAATATGGGATTCCGAGTGGATGTTTGTGTGCATGATAATTGTATGTATCAGAATATGGGGTTTAGGCTAAACCTCTAAACCCTAAGATAAGTGATTGCAAGTGTATGTTTGTGTGCGTGTTGGAATACATTACAGACGTGGCCTCTGCGGTGAGTTTTAGGGTTTATGCGGTGAGCTGTTTGCTCTTTGTTTGTTGATCAAACGTAGACATACGCACGCAAAGTGTCTACAGCAAGATGCAGACATTCCGTATTAAGGCGCTAGGCTATTATCATCATCATCAACCACTCACAACGAATGCACACATCAACCCCACTGCAATGAACACATGCAGCACCCTTCTCCACTCAACAGACGCTAACCTCTACCAACAAACGCACACATCAACCCCACTGCAAAACATATGCAGCACCCTTCTCCACTCAACGGACACACTAACCTCTACCAACAAACGCACACATCAACCCCACTGTAAAACACATATAGCACTCTTCTCCACTCAACAGACACACTAACCTCTCCCAACAAACGCACACATCAACCCCACAGCAATGAAGACATGCAG